ACTTGATTAATTTTGCTACCTATACTATCGGAAATGGAAGAAACGGACGATTTTTTTTTCGAAGAATATTATGATTACGTAATAGATTTTTGTTTTTATTTTTCAAATATTATAAAGAATTGTGCCAGGTTATTAATGTTTTCTTTGATAATATTATAAAAAATTTGTGCATTCATTTTTAAAGAAATTCTTGAAAAAATTTTTAAATTTGAGTTTGAAATGTATTGGTAAAAGAATGTGATTAATTTTTTAGACCGCATAGAAAACGAAAATATGTATTTAATTTTATATATGTGGCTGAAATTGTATTTGAATTTGTAACAATATTCTATTACTAAGTATTATATTTAAATATTTTTGTATCAAATATTTAAATATAATAGTAAGATCAAATATGATCAAATATTGAAACAAGTGTTATACAAATTATAACTTTAAAATTTCTTCCCGCTTAGAATTTGAAGTTATAAAAAATTAAAATAAAATTTATATTTTATTTTATTTGTACATATTTGTAAATTATTTGAAAATATTCAAAAAAATTAAAATTAAATGATTCCTTTTAGATATCTTGCCGATTAAATCGAGAATCGATTGTTTTCAAACATTAAATTTTGCAAATCGAATCACTTGTATATTGAAAAAAAAATATTTCAACTAAATATTAGGTTTTTTTAATCTCATATTCAAAATGTTGACTGTTGTCCTATTATTTCGCCCTTATTATTCTATAATTTATTAAATATTTTCTATTAATTATGAATTTAAGGTCAATTTGACATTGTAATCATTTTCTATTATAATTATTATTTTAATCTTAAATTATTTATTAAAAAAGAGAAAAATAAACAGAAGAAAATTGAGATTTCTGAATAATACAATGAATTAAAAAAAGAATATACTTTTTCATAGTCATAAAAATATTGATAATAAATAAAAATTTGTAATCTAATTAATTAAATTTTTAAAGTGCATGAAATTTAGAACACTGTCAATATTTTATTTTTTAATAGAATCTTCAATTTTACTATTTAACATCTGTCACATATGTCATGTATGTAATGTCAAATCTACTACGTGCGACCAATATGTCTGTAGTCGGAATTCTCGAATAATAAAATATTTATCAGATTTATGTATGATGAAAAATATTAAGTGGTTTACAATTTAGTGATTTTCTTTTTGAGCGCCGTTGAATCATCGTAGATTTCCATGTGTACATCATGCTTGCAAGATTTTATTCTTTATTACCCACGCCCTTTTTCAATAAACAAATTTTATTTTGTAAGCACGATTGTATCCACGAAAAGCGGTTGATTCTCACCAAAGAATATATAAATTTTTGTTTGTCTCCTCTTTATAGAAGAAGTTATTTTTCTTCCTTGGATAAGGAACTAATTAGAAAAATTAGTTTATATTTTAACTATATTTAAAATTCGTTTGGGTCATAACACATAAATTCCACATTATTTTTACCACCCATTTTTTATTTAATTTTTCAATTGAAACTTAAAATAGTTCTAATCGTATTTTTAATAGTAATACTCGTACTATTCAATTTTGATTTATTCAATCAATTAACGCCTATTTTAAATTTTCATAAATATTGTTAAATATTAATCATAATTTTTATTATTAGATAAGATTTCGTAAAATCATATGGATTTATATAAATATAAATCATGTGGAATTATTTTTCCTTTTATATTTTTGCTATTGACATTATTAATCAGTAAATATTTAACCATATGAAACGAAAGTACGTGTACATGTATATATGAATATATGTGAAGACGTCCGTATAAATATAACAATAATGTTGTTTTGTTATCAGAAAACATGCCTGAATGTCTCATAATCACACTTGTAATTTCATTTTTTAACCCATATTATTATTCAGCTATTATGTAAAAATTTCTTCTTTGTATTGATAAATGCTTATTTATTATGTGTGTTTATGAGATTTTTGCGCTCATGTTCAAGGGTTTTTGATTACATTTACATTTTAATTTATGTATTTACATATATTTATGTACTTACTCGTTTTATTTTATTGAAATTCTAGTGTATGAATTATATCAAATTATAATTTCAAAAACGAATTTCTTATAATTTAGTCATAACTTATTGTTGAAGTTATTAAATGTGACCATAATATGTAGTACTTCATTCCAATGCATGAAATCGCAATGAATTAAACGTCTTATTTTGGGAATATAATGTGCATGAAAGTTTTTCAATTTATTTGTTTTTAGTCAAAATTTGGAATCTAAGTTCTAACTTTATGAAAATAAAGTTCCACATTATTACGTTATGCAGGTTCGGAACAATATTATCTTCTTTTCAAAATATTTCAATATAGCAACATTTCTATTATTAAATCATTTGCAAAGTTGCACCTACCCAGTGGTTTGCACAGTATGATTTTATTTATTTTTTATATGTTTTATATAAGTTTAATTTAAATAATTTCACAAGGTCTTTCAATTTTAAAAACAACGCTTGGCCCATAGTATAAAAAGTTATATTAATTTCATTTAATGTTTACTACATAATAATTTCAGCAGGTTTAAATGCATCCTTGGATTTAAAATACAAGCCAAATTTATTTTCAATTCTTTAAAATTTTATTTGTGAACTCATTCTGCTAGAAATTTTTGTAAGCATAAATTTAAATTTAAAATTATTTTTTAAATATTTTACGTTTTACTTTTAAAAAGTAGAAAAATAATATTCGAAATAAAATAATAAAATTTTTTTTTATTTTTTTTTTAATTAAATAAAATTAATAAATTGATGACCTGACATTGAATATTGAGCGTGCGACCTTTGACATAATTAATTACAAATTTAGGTCATTTTGGTTATCCCGCCACAGATTACATTCTCAATAGTTACATTTCTTTCACTTAACTTATACATATTTAAAAAAAGAAACAAGAAAGATGGAGTAACAGAAGAATGAAACGATTTTATTAATGGTTTTACCCTTGAAAATTAGATTTATCACAAAACGGAAATTTTTACTTCAGTTTTTAAGTCTGTAATATTTTATTACTAAAATCAAATAGATATAGCCCCACTAGAATACTGTGGAATTAGAAAATTACAACTGTTTAATTAGACATTTAGGTTTGCGGAACAATTTAGAGAATTTTCAAGCACTCTAGTGTGCAGAGACAGAATAGCTAGTTTCGTTCACTTTTAATTCTATTCATTATTTTTATATTTCTATAATTTTCCCAAAGAGTGGATACTTTAATTTTAAAAGAATTAGTTTAACAATTCAACAATATTTTCTTTTTTACATTTATAACTAATATCTAAACTTTCTAAGTCATTGACCTTTAATAATAATTTTAATTTTTTTCGTGATAGTGTACGGTATTCAAATTCGTATGATAAATAGAAAATAAATTATGTTAACATATTCTTCTTTCATTGAACTTCAAATACACGTTCTTTAAGTGCCGAGTCCATGTCACGATATTCATACTATATTTTTATGATTCACAATGGAAATTTTAGTAAATATTATGGAATATTTTTTCTTTCATTTCTTCATTTCTTTAATTTCAACACAAAAAAAAAAGCATACATACCGTTCTAATATTCACAAAGTGCATTCTCTAACCGCATGCATTCTCTTAAAACAGAACAATTCATTTCTATAATCTACTCTACATACTTATATATAAATTCAATGCACAAATATAGCTTATCAGAAATGCATTATTTTCATTTCATTTAAAAAATTTTCCTATACAAGATTATGATTAAATTTTTAATCACCAATTTAATATTATATGTGAATTGTTTGAGATGCGAAGGTTTCCTTGAAACAGAAACAAAACAAAAAATAAATTTACTTTGTATAAAATTACATATTTTTGTGTCAGACTAATTTTTATTCTTTCTTTTTTATTAGCACCGTCTGCTTATGACTTTTTTGATAATCTCTTTGAAATATTATAATAATTAAATATGAATTTATAATATTTCGAGTTTTGAACTGGATTCAAAATAATTATTTGATTTTCTTTTGATTTTATTTAAACAATTAAAATTACAAGTACATAATTATTTAAAAAAAAAAAATATATACATACTTATATATGAAGAGTACTTACAAATGTAATAAATAAATATTTGAATGCGGTTTAGAAGAGTTATGCATCTCAGTGTTTTCAATAAATAAATAGAAAATCTATTAATCACAATATAAATAAAATAATCTAAAATAATTATTGACAACAGATGGTAAAAAAAAAGAGCAGAAAATGTGGTGTAATTTGAACTTCGTGATACCGTTTCTTATTTGAATTTACATTAAGCAATTTGTGGGTAATTTTATAGTTGAAAAAATATAACAGGTTACTATAAATTTATAACACCCATAATTTAACATTTCCCTCAATCAATAAGTCACAAAAATCGCCTAATTTCAATAATTAAGTGCTTTTCAAATTACCTTTTAGTTTTTTGAAAACAGGAGAATATATGGGCCTATCCTTTCAACTAGTTTCAAGCAGAAAAAGATTTTTATGAGAAAATTATTATAAGCTTATAATTTACAAACCAAGAACTTTTCTGAACCAAAAGCAATACATTTTTTCAACAATGTTTGGATTTGTTCAGATTGTCTTTTAAGCATGAATTCGATATTGTAGTAACATATATGGTTTTTAAATTCAATTCAGCTCAAATATGAAGTACCGAGTTCATCTTAAATAACTTAATTGAATAATTTAATACCTTAATTTTAAACAATTTAAATACCTTAAACTTACAATTTTAAGGTACTAAATTATTTAATCAAAAAATTATTTTAGAAGTTTCAAAATTCATAAACGCTTTACACCTTAAATAAAAAATTATAATTAACACCAAAGCACCTGCACTAAAAAAGAATTTTTTTTTGGCTTATGTTATAATTTAAAATAATAATTTTTTTTTTATTAAGAAATTAATTATCTATTAAATTTCATTTAAATTTAAAGAGTGGGAAGAAAATGAACACAGAACGACAACCGTTACTGCGTTCATCGGATGTTGATTTTGAACAAGGTCATAGCATTCCACCAAGACCCGACATACGTAATTCACCAGACAATGGATTGGTTGATGTTCAAAGCGATGATAGCAGTAAGTATTTAAAAGAAAATTATTAATTTTTTCTTAAATAATATTTAAAAATTATTTTATTAACCTTATTAAAATTGAATTTAAATTTATATTTATATTTTAGTTGCATCAACATCAAATGATAGTATTCATAAATCCGATTATAATCCATCGATGCATAGAACATTAGAGCATCCAACATCGAATCTTGATACAATGATTCATTTATTAAAAGGTAATATTGGTACTGGAATACTGGCGATGCCAGATGCATTTAAAAATGCTGGTCTTTATGTTGGTTTATTTGGTACTTTAATAATGGGTGCTATCTGTACACATTGTATGCATATGTTAGTTAATTGTTCACATGAACTATGTAGAAGAATACAAGCACCATCATTGACATTTTCTGAAGTTGCCTATACATGCTTTGAAACTGGTCCAAAAACTTTAAATCGTTATTCAAATTTAGCAAGGTAAGAAAATATTGAAAATATTTCAATTAAATAGTGAATAGTAGTAACATTAATATTTTTATTTTTAGATCAGCTGTAAATACATTTCTCTTTGTAACGCAAATTGGTTTTTGTTGTGTTTATTTCGTATTTGTTGCTTTAAATATACAAGAAGTTGTTGCACATTATTTTGTTAAAATTGATGTACGAATTTATTTATTAATTATGCTATTTCCAATGATTGCATTAAATTTAGTTCGAAACTTAAAGTACCTGACACCAGTATCATTTGCGGCTTCATTATTAACAATATTTGGTTTAGTTATAACATTTTTATATATGTTAAAAGATTTACCAAGAGCTGACACAGTTAAACCTATTGGTACATGGGCAACTTTACCATTATATTTTGGTACAGCAATATATGCTTTTGAAGGAATTGGAGTTATTTTACCATTAGAAAATAATATGAAAACACCTGAAGATTTTGGTGGTTGGACTGGTGTATTAAATACCGGTATGGTTATTGTAGCATGTTTATATACATCGGTAGGATTTTTTGGTTATTTAAAATATGGTGAAAATGTTAGAGGAAGTATTACTTTAAATCTTCCACCAAATGAAATGTAAGTAATAAATAACAAAAATTTTTAAATATTCAACAGAGATTTTTTAAAAACTTTTCATTATTATAGATTTTCTCAATCGGTCAGAGTTATGATGGCTGTAGCAATATTTTTATCATATACATTACAATTTTATGTACCAGTTAATATAATTAGCCCATATGTTCAAAGTAAATTTGATACAGAAAGAGCTAAAAGATTATCAGAAGTTTCATTAAGAATTATTTTGGTCACATTTACATGTAAGATTTTCTTTCCAAAAAAATATATTACTTACATATAATTGTTGAAATTCATAATTTATAATAAAAAATGATGATTGAACTGAATGGATATCTAAATTACTAGTTTAATGCTTGAAATTAATATTTATTTCTTGTTTATAGAAAAAAATATTGGGTTGAGTTACAAACCTGAAATTTTTAGAATGAAATAAATATTAATTTTTTTCATTACTGGTATTGATTAAAAATTTTTACACAAAAGCTATCTGAAATTTTAAAAATGTTCTATAAATGATATTTTGCATATTATAAATTATAATATATAACGATATTTTCGAACAAATGACTTTTTAATTTAAATTTTTAAACGAACTCGAAAGATTTATAAATCTTATTAAATATTTTGTTAAACTGAGATTTGTAGAACATTTTTTTTTTGTAATGCTTAGTATAAGTTTTTTAATTTTGTAATTTTCGTCAATTTAAACTTTTTTATAATTAAATTATTTTAGTTGTTCTTGCGGCTATTATACCAAATTTGGCACAAATTATTTCATTAGTTGGAGCAGTAAGCAGTTCAACGCTGGCGTTGATTGCACCACCAATAATTGAAATCGTTACATTTTGGAATGTTGGATTCGGTAAATATTATTGGAAGCTGTGGAAAGATGTTACAATACTAATGTTTGGACTTGCCGGTTTCATATTTGGAACATATGCAAGTTTAGCACAAATTTTAGATCCAAACCTTGATTAATCATTAAGTCTCAAATTATGTTTAAAAAATTTACATTATTCGTAAATGTTTTCTTTTTTTTTATTTGCATTTGTTTAAAAAATTATTTTTTTTAACTTTTTTTTGTTTTCATAAAAAGTGTTGAAAAAGAAAAAATACAAAAAACAAAAAGAAATCAGGCGTACAATGTTTTTTAAGGTTAGATTAACATGTACAAAAAATTAAAAATATATTGGATGAAATCTTTATATTTGAGTAAAATATGTTTTTGAAATTTGAACAGTAATGTAATAAGGATTTTAATATATATGAAATGTACATATTTAGTAATCAATAATTAATATTTAGTTAAAATATCGCGTTACATATATGTTACCAAATCAATATATGTTACAAAATTATTTTCATGTTAGAATTTCAATTTGCTTGTTATCAATATTTAATTAAATTGTTACAATAGTAACAATATTTAATTATTTATTTCTAAAATAAACAGTTTAATATAAAATCAGATATAAAATTTGAAACAAAAATGCTTTGCAAATTATATAAAATATTGTTATTCAATTAATTTGATTAAATTTTAATTGTTATTAACATCCTTTTCTTGAAATTACGAAAATTAATTTATTGCATATTTTCCAATGGATTATGTACGCCAAAAATTATAAGTTTTAATTTCTAATATTTAAAAAAAATAGAAAAAAAAGAAATAATTAAATATGTATGTATGTAAAAAGAAAAAACAAATATAAACATAAATTATATTTATGCTTGCTTACTGAAATAAAATAAGTAATAAGCCTAATATTACAAGCTTAATCTTTATTTTATTTATTAATAGAAATAAGTTTGTAATTGTTAAGAAATAATTTAAAATTTTCTTAACTGTGATTTGCACTGTGTTTTTATTAATTTAAATGAAATTCAAAAGGTTTACGTTCATAGAAGCATATTTGTATATATATATAAATATATATATATTAAATTAAAATATAATGTGCATAAATTAAAGTAAAATTTCTGAAAAGAAATTGTTTTTAATAGTATTAATGCACAAAAAAATATAAAAAACAAATACAAATTGACAATAATTATCAGCCTATTATATTAATGTATGTTTGTATTAATATATTTAATAATAGTTTTTATTTTGTTGCTTTGAAAGCGTATAAAATTATAATACAAAAAAAGAAAAACTTATAAATATAAGAAATTTTTTGCTTATATAATAAATTATTTTCATGAAAATAGAAACGTTTTTGCATAAATAAGATTAAAATACAATACCGAAAAATAAATTAAAAATATTTAAATAAATAAATATTTTTAATCATGTAATTATTTTTTTAACTACCTAATTTAGGTATAAAGTGATAAAGTAATTGAACAGGACAATACAAAATTTTAATTTACTTGTTATTTACTCATAATGCATTTTCTACTAATTATTCCAGTCACAAAATTAAAGCACAATATTTTTTTTGAAATAATAATGTTTTAGCTGTCGCTGCTTGTAATTATGATATGTTCAACTAAATCAAATTTAATAATTCAATATAATGTACTTCATTTGTTTATTGTTTTGAAAAATTTCTTTATATTTTACACCACTATTATAAAATTCACTTATTATTTTTTATTGAATTTAAAAAATTGGTGTTCATTGTTTTTCTCAGTATTTTCAAATAGTTTTAAATCAAACAGTTTTAAAAAAAGAACTAAATAAACTTACCCTAATATAAATTATGTTTCAAAATTTTGTAATAAATCAAAAGAAAACCTCAAAGTTCCATGCCAACGAGACTTATGTTGATAGCAATAATTTCCGTTTTCCCAAAACGAATTAAAATAAACTATTTATATAATAAACTATTTATATAATAAACTATTTATATTTTTGTTCACAATTATTTTTACGACAGCTTCCAAATTAAAAACTTAAATATTTTTTTGTGATTTCATGAAATTTGCAAGGTTCACAATATGAGTGAGCTTTATCGCAAATTACAATACAGAGAATATTCCAAAATGAAGAAAACATTTTAGTTTAGAAAATAATTAAAATAGAAATTTAGTTTTAATTAGATAAACACTTTATTTTAATAAAATTTTAAAATAGTGGCTCTCTTATTTTCTCCTTGTAATTGAAAATGTATATTTTAACAAAATAATTTTAATTTTAAATTTTAATATTTAAATAGAATTGCTTTTTAAAATTGCAACGGATTGCCTTTTTTATATTATAAACCGAAATTAAATATTGAAGGCAATTCTAAAATATTTTAAAATATTTATTTGTTTTAAATTTTAATTTAATTTAGAAAAAAAAAGCTGTTGTAGTTTCAAATATTTTGCGAATTTGCGTAATGTACAGACAAATAAAATTTTATAACGCGTTACATTGTGAGAAATTACAGGTTTGGTAATGTATCTCGTTTAAGTATGCTAAAAAAAAATAAATAAAAAATTTTTTCAAATTAAGAAATATTAATTTAGGTTCTAATTAATTCTATTCAAATATCGTAAAATATTATATTAAATTCTGCCAAGTAAAAATGGCAAGAAACTAGGAAAAGAATGTGAAAATATTCGATGTATGTACACATTATGTTACTTCTATCTCTTGAGGTGATGAGTTATTTAAAAATTTTTTAATTTTCCGAACAACATCCTATCCAAAATTGGAGTTCTATTTAAAAACCCACATAGTTTTCAATAAGTTCACCACCACAAGTGATACGACTAACAGAATATGGACGATTATATTAAGAGAATAAAGGTTATTTATCTAATATTTTATGAAATGTTTTGCAAACATATAATTTTTGATAATGTGTGCTATAAGACTTTTTAATATTCTCCAATGGAAAAATGTGTTTTAAAGAATGTAAAGGAATTTTTAGAAATAGTTTTGTACACAATGATTAATAAAAATAAATTCTTAACAAAATTTCCTTAATTCACTTACACTTAATATTAGAATTATTTTAATTTAATTCAATTACTTACATTTTTAAAACTTATACATATATAAAATAAATTGGACCCCAAAAAGTTAAATATTTTGAATATATTACTTTTCAATATCAATTTTTAACGGACCTCATATCAATTTTATAATAATGGAAGATGAAAAGAAAAAATTAATCATTTAATAATATTATCTTGTAATGCGTAAGTCTTCTGAAAATGATGGTAAATAAATATATTGTACTTCATATAAATAAATTTTTAATCATCTATACAAGGTTTCTACTATTTTTTCGTTTTAAATGTGTCTAATCTTCTTTAAAATTTCTCATATATTTTATGTTATTGTTTTAAAATATAGTTTTAATAATATAAAAAAATTCATATTGTAAGAAATAGTATTAATGGGCATACTAACGTTCATAGTAACTATAAAAAAAAAGACAATAAATTTTTAAAAAATTTTATCCGTAAATTGCATTTTTATTATGTATTTCATATAAAACCAAATACATTATTAAATATTTTACATAATATGTTATTATTAAAAAATATATAATATACAATAAAAAGTAAATGTTATAAAAACTAAATATACACTTAATCGATCCAAACATACTTAAAAAAAAGAAACCAAATAACAGAATATTAATTTTGAAAATGAAGATTAAAACCATAAGAACATTTAAAAATGACAATAATATTATTAAAATAAATTGAATATAATACAAATATCATGTAGAAAATGTGTATATTTTTGTTATTAAAAATAAATTTTCGATTGTAATTTAAAAATAAAATTTAAACTTTGCGTTTCCTTTTTTTTAAATCGTATTTATAAAGTTAATAATCTATATAAGAAAATCTCCTGTGTAATGAATGTGTAAGAAAATTTCTCCGCATCTAATGTAATGAATGTAAGATACGTAACTTTCAAGAATTCAATGATTTTTAATTATTCCAACATGTGCTTTCGTTATGTGATATTAAATTTTCCAAAGTTTTTTTTGTTGTAAGCCTGCAATACACACATAATTAATGCAGAAGAACCAAAGTGAGCTAAGTATTCAGTTAAAACTGAAAATTGATTAAAAAAGAGAAAACTAATTTACCTCATTGCCTGAATTGGTATTGAAGATGCATATAAAGCTATAATCAAATTTCCAAAATTATCATTATAAGCATGACATTTATGATAATCCAAACTCCAATATGATTCAGTTGCATTAACTTTATTCTCTTCTGGTTTTCTATTTAAAAACTCGTCTGTTATATCAACGGCTTGATAAAAAAATAATTTCAATATATCTAATCTATGAGATCCACTTGAAGGACGCTTTGAGTTTGATGCTTGATGAAGATTCCTGGTCATAACATATTTCTTTTGGATTTTATTGATAACTAAAAGCCTTTAAGATAGAAATATTTTAATGTGTTATATGTATTACTCGTAAAATTTTTTAAGAGGATATGTTACAAACCCTAATATATTTTCTTCAATTTCAATTGTATTAGAAATATTTCTTGGTATGCATTTCTCTGCATTTTGTAATATTTCAAAATCATTTTTAAATATTTGCTGGGTTAGTAAACTGATGTCGTGGTACGATGGTTCTGAGCCACATAGAACCTTAAAATAAAAATAAAAAAAACATGCATATTTTAAAAAAGAAATCAAATAAATATTTTTTAACATTTACACAAAGAGTTATTAATCCAACAATTGGTACTGCTACGAATCTATAAGCGGTCTGCAGTAGATTGTAATTTAATGAAAATAATTTTTATTGAAAGTTAAAATAAATATTACATTTGGGCTCTTCTTAGGTAAATATACTGGAATATCTCGCAATTGATTGTTTGTTGTTTGAAATAAAATAATCAAAAGTTTTCTGTCAATTTCGTTTAGATCCCACCATCCTTCTGTAGCTACAATTATTTTTGATCCGATCATAATTGCACAGAATAATGAACCAAATTGTAATGCAAATTCATTCAATTTTCCCAATATTTGAGTATTTTCTACAGCTAAAATGCACTCACTGTATTCAAGAAAATCAGAATCAAAGTTATTCAAAATTTTTTCAATTAGTGGCATAAAGTTTTTTGTTTCTCTACGTATTCTATCAAAGTTGTTAGTTGCTTTTAAATCGTCTTCTGTTATAAATAGAAGAAAAACATTGTAAACCAATACTATTAATTGACTCAAATGTTTTTCCGTGTAATTTTTCCCAGCACATATTAGAGTCACGGAGTCATAATCTTTCCAAACAAATATCCAATCTGCTGTATGGGTTGTTTTAAGTTCAATTCCTTGAGATTTACAAAACATATGTGTTCCATTGAGAGATGCTACTGTTGAGAATGGAAGCTAAAATATAAAATCAAATATTTTAAATAGAATGTTTATATAAAATAGGAATAAAAATAATTTTCAATTACGCTTTCCACATTCCCTTTTTTTCTTGTAAAAACTGGATTCCCTCCGTTGACTGTTAAACACATTAGATGCACTGCTTGCGGTGGTAAAGTCATTTTTTATTAATCCGAAATATTTTAAATTTTAATTTAGCAATATTTATAATAACGGTGCTACATTATTACACTTGCGCAATCGAAAATATTTTTTAATAAAATAATTTATATTGTCCAAAATTAAACATGAGAGAAATTTCCCTTTAAAGGAAATATTAACATATTCACAATTTACATTCTAAAGTTATTAATTCAGAATCTAAATCTAAACTGTTTGTACTCCATTCAACTACAGAAGAATAACATGTTATACTGTTCGATTAACTTGTTATAGAAAATTAGATTCACACTACATAAACTGTTTTTATTTGACAATGAACTTGTTTTGCTTTATATTTTGTTTATTTAAAAATTTAAAAATATTTTTTTTGAATTTTGAAATATTTTTGGATTTCAAATTATACTAAACATTATTATGGTTTTAAATCTTTTTTAAATTTTTTCAAGTTTCTTTCAAAATTTCCTTTGATTTGAGGGAAATATGCCAAAAATAATCATTCACCATAAAAAATACGTTTTAAAAAGGATATCCTGAAAAACATGTCTTATTTTGACAGATTATATTTCCATATAAAAATTTAGTTAAACATTATGCATAACATAACATATTATTCGAGAATAACAAGTTATCCGTCCTAGTATAAACAGAGTATTACCGTCGTAGTGTAAATAGAGTAATACGCTATTTAGCGCTTTGCTATTTAATTTCAATTAAATTTAATATTGGAATTGCAATGCATCTCTATCAATTAAGCCTATAAGACATTTGACAAATTTTCGAAGCTGTTGATTCGATTAACTCGACCGACGAAACTTTTGGCACAACTGTAAAATTTTCAACAATTGCTCACAGGTAGGACGTAATGAATGAATATTTTGGACTCGCTGATCAAATTAAAGAATTTTATAATCTGATTATTTGAAGCAAAAAATTGTTTTTTTTTTTTAATTCCATGACATTACTTTTTGTATCAGTCGAAATTGACATAAAATTCCAAGACTTTTTTATGTGGCAACTCTAAACCAACTGACATTTAGTGAAATTGTGGTTAATGATTTTTGTAGCTAACATATGACAGTGACACTTTAATTCCTTTCTATGTTGCCTATGTTGCATCTCGCTGCAAATTTCTTTGTTTTGAAATGGATTTTGAAATTGTTTGTATTGCATTCACCACATTTTGGTTGATTCGTGTTTAGAATTTGTGAGTGATTTATACGGTGTTTCGCGCGAATTTATTTTAATTTTTTGTTTTGTATTTTTTGTGAGACTATTAATTATTGTTATTTTTACTTTATTTTTTTGTATCGTGAAAAAATAAGCAAAAATATTTTTAATTAAATGAAAAAATGTTTTAAAATTAAAATCGAAATTTGATTGTATAAAATAAAATTTTCTTATTGAATATATAATCTTATATTTATATATTCATTTTTAAGAGAAATCTTTAGAATTTTATAATATGTGTTCATTGTGAAACTAAACAAAAAAAGAAAATATTAAAAATATGTAATAAAAGTGCATTTATTTACACAAAATTTAAAAATTTTTTTAATAGCATTCACTTTTTTTTACGTTGCGCCTTTTTTTGCATAAAACATATTTGCGAAGGCTCCATCTGTTAAGTGTTTTTAATATTATTAATATTGTCTTTAAAATATGTATATTAAAATATAATATTTGCATTTTTAACACAAAATATATGTACATATACAAGTTTTGTATTAAATATTGGTTTATAAACAGGCTCCGATTGCAATAGTGCATTGCTATTTTGAATAACAATACTTACCATTTTAATCATATTTACTTATAGTGCTTGTTTATTTGTGTGTGTAAATTAATATAAAATAATATCATATTAAAGCCACAGGTGTGTTTAATATTGTGAATTTTTATTAAAATTTTTAGTTCAAATGTGTGCGTTTGCATACAATGTAATTGTATCAAGTTTAATGTAAAATTGTTGATATTTCAATTGTTTTTTAATTTTGAATTAAAAATTTTACATACTGGATCTATTTTGTGTACCAGTTAAACAACGATTACCATCAACGGATTCTGATCCTGAACAGGTAAAATTTATAATTTATGCTAAAATGTAAAAATACAAAAACATAAACAGTTTTACCAACAAAAATTACCAACAGTTTTTCAATATTTATTGTTATTATATTAGGAATACTTATTCGAAAAAAATAATTTCATTGTATTTGTGTTAAAACATTGAACAATCTAGTATCCTTCCAAACGCGATCATGTCTACTTACCGAAGAGACCCCGGTAACCTGCATCTACTGAAATGCAATAAAAACCTAGTATCTGGGCATACTCAAAAATTGAATAATCTTGTAATAAGGTATAAGTAAAACATGCAAACCTTCACTGATATTTGCGATATGCTTTTACCAGCCAAGAGTGTTTACTTACTAATTGAGGCCTTCAATTTATTTTAAGTATTTCTTTTTTGTTAGTCATTAACCACACTAATTAAATCATGTTTTTTTAAACATTTAGTAATGTCGATAAAGTAAATTTTTTCGAAGCAACAACTTATCGTACTTATCGGGGTTTTCGTGATTTCTGCATTTTTGTTTTAAGTACCTACTTATGTAAATATGTTGGTGAATAAAATAATTGGGCAAATGTGCTTATTTCACTTTCCGGGAATTTGCTATTTTTTTAATTGAAAATTAAGAGAACTAGAATTCTACTTATTAGTACGAAATTGAACTTGTTTTACTGTGCCCGTCAATTTTTTAGACTCAATTTCAGTTATTGAACTGCAACCAATTTAGTAAATCGTTCTTGATTCAAATTTGTTTTTTTTTTTGCCCAAGTGTTTGGAATACTTACAATTACAGTTAGATATGTAGGTTTCTACATAAGTAAATTTTCCTTGCAATTCAACTCTACGATTTGTTTTTTTCTTTTAGCAATACTTGGTAAATTTTCAGTAATACGAGTAGAAATGCGTTTTCGAAAATCATTTTTTGAATTATGAAAAAAAGTTCCATACCTACCTTCTTGTTAAGCCATAGGTTAATTCTAATTTTATGGACAACCACTCACCCACACTCGAGTGCATGTGCAGCAAATTGTATTGTAAAACTGATTTATGAACAACACTAGTTTTTTTCAATATCTTTTTATTTTATATAAGTAGCATTTCTTACCAGACTAATTAAAAATATGTTGAAAAAGAAAAAGTTCTGCAGTCCACTTATTCCAATCCTTCATTACACTTTAAAATAACAAGAATTAAAAAAAATAATTAATACGAGTGCAACAAGAACAATTCATTTAGCTGCTTTGCTTAACCTTAAACAATTTTTTTTTTTTGAAATTCAACTAGTCATTTGAATAACTTACATAATTGGCTGCATCTTTAATTTCTTCATAAAATGTTACAAAACAAATATAGGTAATCTAGGTCAGAAAAAAATCGATTTTCATTTAATGCCCTTGAAAGTTATTATTAGTTTGGGTACAACAAAAAAATGGTAACAAATCTTGTTTTACCTACTTGTAGTTGCTCTCTAACCATTTCTAACCTTTAAACTTTTTTTCTTTTTTCGGTATAATTAAAATGAGTGTAGAACGGTTTTATTTTCCATGACACGAGGAAAAATGAAAACAAAAAGTAAATTTTTTTTTTTTTGATTAAAATTTTCCGATTAAAAGTTTAAACAAGATAAAAATAAAGGAGGCTTTCGAAGTAGTAAGGTGGTTGCATTTTCACTTTTGTTTTCAGGTTTTAAATAATTTTTGATTATAAGATTTCGAAATAGTTCAAGTAATCACCAAACTTGATTTTAATTGGTTTTTTTTTTGTTTGTTAGATTGAAATTGGAGATTAATGTCGATTGTAGAATAGATAAATAAAATCTTTGTATTTGATGAGTTTTTTTTTTCAAAATTAACATTGTTATTGACTATGGATACTTAATTATAAAAATGTTGATTGCAGGGGGCCTTCGAATGTTAAATTTGAACATAACCATTTATTTACTAAATTAAATTGCCTAAAGAAAGTTTTCTGGATTTTTAACTGTTTGAGAACACCACATGAAACGCTAAGAACAGAAATTTGGATTTAGTATTTTCAATTTAATTAAGACCTTGTGTGGGAACAAAAATGTACTAAAGTATTTAAATGTAAATTACATAATTATTTTCGATTGGATGTTCGTTTTCATTTTTTCAATTGAAATTTCGATAGACTCTTCATGGTGTTTTTAGTTTATTTAAATAATTCCGTACAGATTTATAAACTATTACAGACTTCCAAAGTATCTGCCTTTGTATATTTACTGAATATATTCTAGGGAGAAACGAGTACCCGTAAAAGGTGTTCTCTGTCATTAAATTTCCAATTCTTCAAATTTATAAATACTTTCACGCTAAAAACAAAAATTAAATTATATATTTTATGACTTAATTTATGTATAAAATTAATTATTTTTTTATGATTTTGTTAAATTGTTTTGTTTTAACTTGCATTTTTGGTGTATCTTTCTTGCTTGTCACTTGTCGTCACAAAACGTCGTTTCACTACGACATATATCGCATCAGAACGACGACTAGAATATGGCTGAAACACATTTTCCCGCTATTCCTCGACAAGTGTTACTGCAATCGCGGCTTAGAATATCAAATTCAAGTCATAACGACAATTGTCGCTCTACTTCGACAACTAGAATAAGGTTCAATATTTGGTATTGCGCACCTTAATTTTTAATAAAAAATTTATTTTGTGGAATATGCTAACTCACCGTTTTGTTAGAGTAAATGCTTAAATAGAGATTTTTGCAGCAGATATTGTTTCCAACAATTCAGATTATGACACTGAATTTCAGGATCAATTGAATATTTCGAATACTTAAGCAAAACGAAAACTTGTAGTTACGTTAGAATTTTTTTTCCTAAATAACCAAATGTAAGCTAGCGTTTTGCTCGAATATTAGAACGATTGCAATATTCTATAGCCGCAAATTGAAAAAAAAACCAATTACAATTTTAATAATCAATTTTTTATGTTTCATTATACTTAAATAAGTAACTATACTTTTGCCTTATAACAAGTGATAAGAAAGTAATAATAAAATGGAAAAATGAAAAATTAAACATGATGCTATTTTGTTTTCTTTAAGAAAACCTTGAATTTCTGACCAGG